ATTCCATTACACAAGAAAGGTTCTACGAAAACTTGCTGCAATTATCGACTTATTGCTTTAATATCCCATGCATGTAAAATACGTGTGTTAAACGAACGTCTCAAAGCCTTCCTATCCAAAGAGATTGCTCCTGAACAAGCTGGCTTCGTGAAGGGCAAAGGTACTCGAGAGCAAATCCTGATAATGCGCCAAATCACTGAAAACGCTCGAGAATTCAACAAGCCGACTTATATTTGCTTTGTGGATTTCTCCAAGGCATTTGATTCTGTCAAGTGGCCTAAGCTATGGAACACTTTACTGAAAATGGGTACACCCAAACATCTTGTACACATTTTGAAGCGTCTTTACGAGGGTGGAACAACGTCGGTGAGAACAGATGAATAACTGTCAAATCAGTTTCACCCCAGTACTGGAGTCCGCCAGGGATGTATCGTCTCTCCACTTGTGTTTAATGTTTACACTGAGCTCATCATGAGAATTGCGCTGGAGGACTGGCAAGATGGTGTCGCGATTGGAGGTTTGAGTATTTCAAACCTACGCTACGAGGATGATACCACTCTATTTGCAACCAGTATTCCTCACATGGAAGATCTATTACATAGAATGGAAAACGTCATCAGAGAAAACCTACGCTACGAGGATGATACCATCCTATTTGCAACCAGTATTCCTCACATGGAAGATCTATTACATAGAATGGAAAACGTCATCAGAGAATTCGGGCTGAAAATTAATCAGACAAAAACAAAGATGATGATCATCAATCGCGCCAATAACAACTCACCAGAGGTTTCACAAATCGCAAAGTGTGATGTGATCTAATCCTACGTATATCTGGGCGCGTTAATTTTTAATAATGGCGGATGCATCGATGAGATCAAACGTCGTATGGCTATAACTAGATCTGCCATGGAGAGACTAAAGAAGATATGGAAGAACCATAACATGACGAAAGCCACAAATACCCGGCTCGTGCGAACACTTATGTTCCCCATATTTTTGTTTACTTCAGAAGCCTGGACATTACGCAAATGTGAGAGACCGAGGGTAGATGCTCTCTTAATGTGGTGCTGGAGAAGAATGCTTGAAATATCATGGAGTGAATTTCGAACCAACGTTTCAATTCGCCATGAACTCTGCATCAAGCAGCGGCTGTCCTCTGTTGTCCAGGCTCGCATCCTTGCTTTCTTCGGGCACGTATCTCGCCGTGGTGAAGCCTCTATCGAGCGTCTCGTCGTTCAGGGTAGAGTTCCGATCACGCGGTAGATCGCCAACAAGATGGACTGACCAAATTAAAGCCATAACAAATGATCCTCTACACGTGTGCATAAGGAAAGCTGCCGTGAGGGAGGTATGACGTTGCGTTGTGCAGCGGGTTGCCGCCACTGAATCCGCCGATGACGCTGCAGTAACGACCACGACCACTCTGCCAAGAGTGTAACGATAAAGAAGAAGAAGAACATAATTCGAACCGGGTAATCATTGAGTGATACAACCGCTATTACAGATTTCTACTGCAGTGGCACCTTAAGCCGGGTATCCACTATGTAAGCGAACATCTTGAGCTCCGCGCTCTTGCAACTGCTACTACACATAGTGGATACGTTCGCGCTTCTGAAGCGTGCAACGGTGCGCACTCCGTTCTCAGCGCGCCAATCGGTGGCAGTTTTTGGGGGAACGCACAGTGAAACTCAGTCTGTTCGTGGACGCGAGCAAAATACCACGTTTAGTGCGTACGTGTCGTTTATTCACGCTCCACGCATTCCTGATAATTGAGTTCGAATACCAATTAATTCCGACGTCTTCTTTTGTAAATTAAGGATTTCCAAAAGGGCTTCTATAGTCTTCAAAAGAAAAAGAAACAAAATTTATGCTGCGCTAGCCAATAATGGTGACGATGTTTTCGCTCAATATTCGCAAGAGTACTGCGGAACATGCGTGTTTATTATGGAGATGCGCGTACCGTCTTCATCAGAGCGGTTGCAGATGCGCAGAGCACAGTTATTTCGCGAACGTAGTGGATACCCGGCTTTAACATCATGGCCGACCGTACGCTTGTTATCGCCTCCTTGATACTGCCATGAGAAAAATACCAATTAGGTATAAAGTTTTCTACTCAAAGCATCTTTCGTTTTGAATAATATGATTTTTATGACCGTATGTACCTTTGTGTAGCTGTATTGCTTTCGATAGGTGGCTGTAAGTAGGCGCGGCGATGGCGTATGAATGGGGCCCGAGGCAGCGTTAATAATCCCTGTGTAGTTATCGGCCCCGAGAGATGGCGTGTAATTACGTTCGAGACGGGCTCAGGGCTAATTGAGAGCTATATCTTACTTTGCCAAGTCCGCTGGCCCCTTAAGGGATTCTATAGTGGCGCGTATACAACTGCTTACTAAGACGTATTAGCTACTAATTGAAGTTGACAGCAATTTTGCCCGAGCGTGTTGTGAACGAATACGACCTCGCATACCTAAATCAGTTCTGACAACCGTTTGGTGCGAAATTGCCGTCTGCGCCTGAGTTCGAAGCCTGGTATGGGCTATGTCTTTCTCTGACGTACTAAAGAGCAATGCCCACTTTTTATGGGAATCTGGCTTAACATGGACATACATTTTAACTACCCAGAATCTATGAATCATTATAATTTTGTATCCGTATATGTTAAATGAAATGATTAGCACAGCGAAGAAAAAGGGTAATATAAGCAACAAATATGCCTGTGTTGCAATTATCTACAATATTCGAAGTTACATATTACCAATACAATGTCTTCACACTGAGATATATTTTCTGTTCCACAATTCAACTAAATCGAAAATAAACATCTATTCTTTAAATGCCACGGAAAATTATTTTTGCTCAATATGGACGTATTACGAGAAAAATTAAACCGCCGAAAAGCAAAAAAAAAAATAGTAAAAAAGGTAATAAATACCTTTTGTTGCTTTCATTTCAGTAATATCCAACTCGGCATCAAAATCTATAAGTGAACAATCACCTATTTTCTATTTTCACTATTTTCCAACACTCAGGGTAGGATTTTTTTTAATTTTATCTGGGATGGGACCAACTTCGTGGTATACCAATCCAATCAAAAAAAGAATCGACAAATCGTTTACTCAGTAAAAAGTGTGTGTGTGTGTGTAATGCGTGGTCATCATTTACAATCTTTGAGTGAACAATCAATCATCCCCTGTTTTCCTACCCTTAAGGTAGGTGTTCTTTTTTCAAATTTCTGTGGGACCAACTTCGGAGTATGTCCGTTTCAATGAAAAAATAATTATCATAAGCAGACTATACTGTAAAAAAATATGCATAAAAAATATATACGCATTTAATTGAGAACTTCCTTCGTTTTTTTCGGCGGTTGTAAAACGTAGCCAAACTTAAATTCGTCCAATCACTGTCGATTTCGATTATGTGACACTATATAGTAATACACTAAAAGACGGAAGTGATCGTATTATTTTCATTGAGTTTATTATATTAAAAATGAAACTTTTTATTGTCTTGCGTTTATATAAATTCACGCTAACTCGTAAAATATATAAGTAATCTATCTAACTTGCGGTAGAATGGAAAAAGCAATGAAATTAAATGGGTATCCATGTAGGTACTACTTGAAATAGTGGATGCTTCAAACCGCTATAGTAAATAGAGGAGTCTTTTCATTTAAATCACGAGGTAAACATAATTGGATACACACAAATTGAGGGGCCTTTTATGACACGCTCTTGTGGCAGAATGAAAAGCTTTTCATACCATATTGTATTTCAATATTTGGCCAGCCGCGCTCGGACGTTGAATGATTTCACAGAATCAGTGCTAGATGTAAGCGTTATTGATAGCTCTAACAACTCTCAGCTAAACGATTTCAATTGATGAGTGATCACTTTTGAATAGTGTTAATTTTATTTGTTTTGAGCAATTTAATTTGATTAGACTTTATACGTCATCTTTATCTTATACCGGACTTAGAGAGTCAAATAGCATTATTTTTCACGCAAGTAGTGGCAATAGATGTACCATGGGCTGGGTGGAAAGTTTTTTTGCAGCAAATTATAGTCTGATATGAAAAAAAAACGCCATCCTATCCAAATCTAAACCAAAAGTAGGGGAGCCCAAGCGGGATAATATAGTATATGCAAATAAATTTTAGTTAACTTGTTACACATCATTAACGAGAGTATATGATAGCTGAGAATTCAGCGTCTAATTATTTTCATGGGCCTACAGGACGTGGTTTTCATTATTATATGTGTACATAGTGATAGCGCCTAAAGAGAGCATCAAATTATTATCGAAGAACAAAGGGGCTTCAGCTTGAATTTCAACCCCTTTTCACTTTGAACGGGCAACTGAGCAACTCGGGTTAAGCATTAACTAAAATATATAGATTTCACAATGTTAATTATTATAGCTAAAACTACATACGGCTATAAAGATCATTAAGTCCAATATAAGTTTATGATACCTTCTCACTTCATGTCTGGTGAGAGTGGGTACGTTGCGTGTTGTGAAGATAGCTGAAAGTAGAAGACGAATAGATTTCTACAACAAGTATTATGTAAACGAATGAAATAGTAACAAAATAAAAATAATCATCATCATCAGTCTAATAAAATTGGATATCCCTACTGTTCTTGCCCACTGTTGAGGCACAGACCTTCCTATATGTTGAGGCATAGACCTTCCCAACTGTTGAGGCACAGACCTTCCTAACTGTTGAGGCACAGACCTTCCCAACTGTTGAGGCACAGACCTTCCTAACTGTTGAGGCACAGACCTTCCTAACTGTTGAGGCATAGACCTTTCCAACTGTTGAGGCATAGACCTTCCCAGCTGTAGAGGCTCAGACCTTCCTAACTGTTGAGGCACAGACCTTCTCAACTATTGAGGCACAGACCTTACCAACTGTTGAGGCATAGACCTTCCCAACTGTTGAGGCACAGACCTTCCCAACTGTAGAGGCTCAGACCTTACTAACTGTTGAGGCACAGACCTTCCCAACTGTTGGGGCACAGACCTTCCCAGCTGTTGAGGCACAGACCTTCCCAATTGTTGAGGCACAGACCTTCAAAAAATGATGAGGCACAGACCTTCCCAACTGTAGAAGCTCAGACCTTCCCAACTGTTGAGGCACAGACCTTCCCAACTGTAGAGGCTCAGACCTTACTAACTGTTGAGGCACAGACCTTCCCAACTGTTGGGGCACAGACCTTCCCAGCTGTTGAGGCACAGACCTTCCCAATTGTTGAGGCACAGACCTTCCCAACTGTAAGGTTCAGACCTTCCTAACTGTTGAGGCACAGACCTACTCAATTGTTGAGGCACAGACCTTCCCAAATGATGAGGCACAGACCTTCCCAACTGTAGAAGCTCAGACCTTCCTAACTGTTGAGGCACAGACCTTCTCAACTATTGAGGCACAGACCTTACCAACTGTTGAGGCATAGACCTTCCCAACTGTTGAGGCACAGACCTTCCCAACTGTAGAGGCTCAGACCTTACTAACTGTTGAGGCACAGACTTTCCCAACTGTTGAGGCACAGACCTTCCCAACTGTAGAGGCTCAGACCTTACTAACTGTTGAGGCACAGACTTTCCCAACTGTTGGGGCACAGACCTTCCCAGCTGTTGAGGCACAGACCTTCCCAATTGTTGAGGCACAGACCTTCCCAAATGATGAGGCACAGACCTTCCCAACTGTAGAAGCTCAGACCTTCCCAACTGTTGAGGCACAGACCTTCCCAACTGTAAGGCTCAGACCTTCCTAACTGTTGAGGCACAGACCTTCCCAACTGTTGGGGCACAGACCTTTCCAACTGTTGAGGCACAGACCTACTCAATTGTTGAGGCACAGACCTTCCCAAATGATGAGGCACATACCTTCCCAACTGTAGAAGCTCAGACCTTCCTAACTGTTGAGGCACAAACCTTCCCAAATGTTGAGGTACAGACCTTCCCAACTGTTGAGGCATAGACCTTCCCAACAGTTGAGGCACAGACCTTCCCAACTGTTGAGGCACACACCTTCCCAGCTGTTGAGGCACAGACCTTCTCAACAGTTGAGGCACAAACGTTCCCAACTGTTGAGGAACAGACCTTCCCAACTGTCGAGGCACAGACCTTCCCAACTGCTAAGGCACAAACCTTCCCAACTGTTGAAGCACAGACCTTCCTAACTGTTGAGGCACAGACCTTCCTAACTGTTGAGGCACAGAACTTCCCAACTGTTGAGGCAAAGACATAACCTTACTACCTTATTAGTTAAGGTGACCCTTCACGCGAGCCCTATACGGGTTCGTGCTAACGACTGCAGACGCAACCAGGACAAACGCTTCCTTGGGACAATCCATTATAGATGCTTTAATGGATGCTAGTACCTACGACACCATCTGAAAAAGATATGGTGGTTTGATCACCACCTGAAATGGATGAAGTACCTTGTCTAAATATAAAAAATCGTGATTGTCTTGTTGTTGATTAATTATATAGGTCAGTACATTAATCTAATTAATTTAAGTACTTACATAATATATAATTTTTATAAACCCTATACATAAGTAACTAATAAATATTCCACCATTCAACCACAACTTTTGTTTACAGTTAAAACCATATTTAAAAATTTCGCCTATTATTTGGTCTTAGAGTATGTTGCATATAATATAGTTTGATTGTGCCTTTGTTAAAGACTTTCTATAGGACGAGGAAAAGGAATCTGTTGCACTTAACACTGATTTTTTTATGATCTAGCTAGGGCTCAGTGTGCCTATGTCAGTGTACTTTATAAGTTAAAAAGTATGAACTTAGTAACTTAAAATCTCGTACACTTTTGCAAAATAAAAGATTATTATTATATAATGTTTTAAACTTAGTCACTAACATTATAGATATTATTATTAATACTGATGATGATGATGATTATAGATAAGATTATCATTATTATGTAAAAGTATACGTTTTGTTTGTTGTGAGAGCGCTGGTATTAAAATCCCCATTGGTTATTAATGGTCTCGAAGAGATCGGTTCTAGATCTCTGCTGCTGCTGGAAAATCGCTGTAAAGATGTTTCAGGTGTTTGTTTTCCGTTTTGGCAAATAATTATCGGATTGACCAATTTATATGAGTTTTATAGCAGACAACAACGATACATGGCCTGCGTTTTGTAACCATTCAGGTTCGTATCTCAACAGTTTCCTGGTTTTATATCTGACTAGCTGTGCCCCGCAGTGTTACCCGCGGTTTATTAGGGATATTCTCCCGCAGTAAAACGTAGCCTATGTTTTAATCCAGGGTGTCAGCTGACTCCATACGAACTTTTATTAAAATCGCTCCAGCCGTTTAGACGTGAAGAAGTAACAAATATACACACTTAGACACTCACAAGCCTTTATAATATTAGTGTGATAAATAGGCAATATATAGGTAGTATTTAATCAATCATCATAAATAGACGTAAAAAATTGTTCCATGTATTTTTATTGTTAGCATGGATTAATATATTTTAAAATTTTGCCCTCTTTTGATATACAGTGGTTTATTTTTATAAGGTGTAATTTATTTATGTCTTTTAATTTGTCTTTTGTATCTTTTAATAATTTAATGTCAAAATTATGTCACAGCAAGGCGGCAAAATCAGTCACGTCAAATATTTATTCAAGTTTGTTCAGAAAATAATAACAAGTTTATTTTCAGGGATACGTACATTTAAGCAAAAATCAACTTTATTGTATTGAAATTATTGTAAGAAAATAAGATTATGGTGGGTCATGTGATGTTAAATTCCCCTCCACAGCTCTTTACTAGCTTACTCAGAGCACCGGGGGAACCATAAAAGAAAACCAAAAATTAAGATAATGTTATAAGTATATTTTATCCACTTTAGATACCAAAGCATAGGAATTCAGTAGTTTTAAGTTATTGCTTATATAAATCAACAAGTCCAACTATGTTTATTATTTATATAATAACTATGTTTCACTAATTATAAATATCTAAGCTGAATACAGTAGTTCAAAGTTAATGTGTATATAAACCAACAAGTTGTCATGAAAGGTTATAATTATATGAATATCAAACATTCATAACACTTTACCATGTACTTACAATATAATCCTTACTAATATATTTTATCCACAAATACCACATAGACTAGACTGAATAAGCTATTGAGTGGATTTCAGAGGTTCTACGGCTCGTTTGATCGATATTGGTGACAAACTTAGTTAATTCTAGTTCTCAGTGAGATAACCAGTTATATAGCTATATGTTTATATATGGAAATGGGTAAGTCGGGGTCCAACCTCGCCTGTTGTTTCCTTTTCACGTTCACCCGGGGTTAGTAGAGAAATACCTTGATTATGATAGGTTAAGCTGTGTATAATCTGTCTGCTGTTCGGCCGGGTTACATAAAACCGGAGAGCGGCTGGCAAATAAACTCCCGCGCCCCTTCTGGTCCGTGCACAGAACAAAAGTCTCCTTGTTAGTCCTCCAGTATTTCTTGAGGGGAACGTACAAGCCTGAAGTTCACATTGAAAAAAAATGATCAGATATGGGGAAAATACATAGATTACCACATCTGTGGTGGGTGAGGGAGTGAGGGATATTCACGGTCAATGTTTACACTTTAAAATTTGAATCAATACAGGACTGGGGGCCCGTCCCACCCGGTTTGAAGAAAATCAATTCCACGTTCACTAACTTGACAAGAATGATTAGGTATATTTGATGACAAGAATCACTATATTGTGCATAATGCAGTTCAATTAGTGCTAGGAGAATAAATATGAGGTCAGATGATAGCTTACCGTTCGAAATATGAAACTATCCGTAAGTATTTTGTTTCCTATCACAAGTTACCGCCTTATTATTGCAATCGCCTTGCGAAGGTTCGTGTTCGTCCACCTACGATACAGAATATCAACAGAAAGGTTATTTTCACAGCCCAAACTTGCAAATTATGTAGGAAAAAGAGCCACTCCAATATACCTACGAAACTCAGTTCGGTTAGCGACTCCGCGCTTTTTCCGCCAATATCCTTCGGGATATAAACTTTTCGGATCTATCTCACGACTTCGACGACAATAATATGCCGTTTATTATACTTTGGGCAGAAGAAAAGATGAAAAGTTAACTGTACCACAAACAGATTGTGAAATTTTAAAAGTTGTTTTGACAATTGCTCATAGATGATAGACGGATCGTCTACTCCCAAACATGTGTCTATGATTTGTTTCCCACTTCAACTGAAGGCAAAGGCCACAGTCAAACAGACAGCCGCCGCATTCGAGACGAACCGAAGAATAAACTCAAAACTATATACCTACGCTTGCCGTAAGCTGAGGAAAAGGGAATACCTACCCGAATCAGCGAGGAAATTCAATTTCGAGTAAAATTCAAAATCGATTAAAAACAGCACCCGATAATGAGGACTCAAATCGATCTGGGAAAGACTATTCAAAATTCAACAACTGTCAAACTCCATCCATTCATCCACGCGCCCCCACAGAGATTCCCCGCCTGATTACTTTTTTTTTTTTTTTTTTTTTTTTTATAAGTCTCAAGGCGAATATTTTAGTCGAATAGGAAAATCGACTCTTCCCTCAAGGCTACCAACCCAATCAATGAAGTTTGACAGCTACGCTGACGTAAGCGGTTCGCTATCATAGACAAAACAGCTGTCCTACGTGTGTCAGTGTCACGCTCTGTTTAAAAACAAACACTACAGTATCCCCCCACCCACGGCAGAATTCACGTAGGGAATTCGTCGAACGCCCTCGTTCGTATATCCCCATGTCTTATGTACTTTAGTTAAGATATGATTAAGTTATGTTGTATAAAATAATAGAATATTATAAACCGCTAAGTTAAAAAAAAATAAACATACAGAACGATAAATCATTGATAAATCTCTAAGTTGTAACAAAAATAGATAATAATAAATGACAATAGTAACACAAAGTGTATACCACTCAAGGCCGTACCGCAAGCATCTTTGCTCCGAAAATAGATATAATAAAAAAAAATTATAATGTTACCAGTTATACCGCGAAAAACATAATGGTAGAAAATTAACCAAAGAGATGTTATTGGTCAAAGGCGATTTGCTCACAAAATTGCATGTTGTGTGTTCGTCCATCGTGTGTCTCATTTACTGTCTCCCGAGAGAAATAAAAAAAATATCATAAATATTCTATGCTCATCATAGGATATTATGATAAAAGTTGTTGTTAATACGTTTTCATTTGTATTAGCAACTTCAATAAAATGCCTTGGTAGGTAAAAAACTAACAAGCACATTAACAAAACCTTCTCCTGGAAAAGTTAAGAGACAATTAAGTGTTTAAGCATTAATTAGGTGGCAAACAAAGAGATCACACTATCGGGGACGAACACACACATGGGTATCTAAGATGCAGTGTGATACCAAGACCCATTGACGATTTCTACGTCACGCCGGGCAGAAGGCGGAATGGGTATTCGTCGGCCGCCACATCCACGGCGATAAGTCCCTACCTAAATATCTATTCGGGGTCAGCGCTTTTGAAATCTTTTATATGCCATTTGCCTACATACTTCCCGTTTTCGTCTTCGAGCTCGTAAACGAGTGGGGAGAGTTTACGGATTATTTTGCAACGTTCATATTTCGGTGCAAGTTTGACTGAAAAGTATTTATGAGCCGCGCTTTGTTTATACGTCCGTTTCCAAATGTAATCGCCTACGTTAAAGGAAATATCCCTACGACGCCTGTT